TTACTTTTTAATTGCCTCTTACTTTATTTAGATTTTCTTATGTTAAATGAAGGACTCTTAGAAAAACAGGTTTGTTTGGTTACTGCCTTGAAAGTCTCTTATTACTACACTAAAAAGATTATGCAAGGTATTTACTGGGGGGTGGGAGGATGAGACGCAGTTGACTCATGGCTGTGTCAGCTGGCGCAGGACATCTCCCAGCTCTGAATCTGCCATGGTTTAGCCATGGAAGTTATTTGGCAAATCCTGTGTATGCCTAGAACAGATCAGATCACTTTCTAGGGATTTGGTGGACAGCAAACATGATTATGATGATGTATTTGTGTATGACCACAAGTGATAAAGCTTGTGTGGTTTCTGAGGTTCGGGTCCCAGCAGGATGTGGTAGCTGACCATGAGTGCTCCAGGCCATTGCAGATGAGGAGGAAACAGGATTGGCTTGATGCCTTTGTGCATCTTTCCAGGCTGACCAAAAGGGTGAATCTGGTCTTTTATTCTGCTTTGCTTAAGGGCAGGTTATTTAGAAATTATTTAAAGCATCTATGATCATATGGCCATAGTATTTTATGTGTATATATGTGTTTTTCTTGTAGGATCTCCTGAGAACATGTCAGTGAGGGAGCTGAAATACCATCTTTGATGTGACTCTGAAATTGTAGTGACTGAGGTGCTGGTCTTCCATGTTATACCCCTGAGCTTTAGCACTGGAGTAAAACATTTTTAGAAGGCAACAATGCTGTTGAACAGGGTGGTTTGTTGTGAAGTGATCAACCATCTCCCATGATAATTTTATATTCTGTGAAGTCCATAAAAGCTTGAATACTTGTACTTCACTTTTCCCACCTCCCTTTGCTGCTGATGCTCCTGTAGTGCTCACAGTGAGCAGTTGCTGTGGCATTAATAATCATTGATGTTAACTTTTTCCATGCAATAGGAGCCAGTGCTCAGTATAAGGATCTAACTCTCTGTAGACCTCAGACTTTTCAGGGAACTCTAAAATCCTGTGTGACTCTCTTATGGCTCTGATTCAGCGTGAATCAGAGCAGCTGTATCTTCAGAGAGCTGGGATATAAAGTAAGGTTATAAAGCCAAGCCTAGCTCTCTTCATGTCAGGTTGTAAAGCCAAGCCTAGCTCTGGTTAGCAAATGTGAGGATGAAGGCTGCCTTTCAGCCTTGGTTGTGGCCTCCTCGAATATATACGTGGTGATGTAATTTTTAATTATGTGATCACATCATTTTCTTCACACAGGGTTCCTGCCTCACTTGGTGACCAGGGTGCATGATGCTCAGAGGAAGGGTAGACAGGCAATATTTTTTGTTCCCTTCTTTGGTGTGTGGCCTATGTCTGCTTACCATAAATCTGATTCCTCCTAGGTTATTTGTTTTGGTCTAAGTAAATATCAGTAAATTATATTTGCACCGCTGATAAATAGGGAGTACTGAAGTGGAGAGACTGAGATGATGCTTGTTAAGCATCATGATATTGTTGTCCAGAAGAGAGAGTATTTTTTGGCAACACGACCCATTCGAGGCGGATCTTCAGCTGGCTTTGGTTCATTGCTCCTGTGAGCAGGGAGAGGCTCAGGTTGGGTTTCTAATAATAACCACGGATGTTTCCTTTGCGGCATCACCTGCGCTGTCGAAGAGCTGCTGTGTCAGACTGAAGGGTGGAGTTCTTCATCCAGAAGGACCTTTTGTTTGTCTCCTGTTTGCCCTTCTATTGTGGTTTCTTTCCTGGGGCACCAGCAGGCAGGGCTGGAGCTCAGACAGCAGCTTCAGGCATCGCGCAGCCGTGAGTCATTCCCCAGCAGCAGCTCTGCTGTGCATCTGCTGCAGAAAAATTGTGAAATAGGTATTGTGCATGTAAGTAAAGGTGGCACCTTGTCCTTCAACTTGTACTCCATCTGTTTCTCTTGTCCCCCCAGCTCTCTTATCCCCTGCATTGGAGCTCAACTGCTCTCTTCTCTGCCTTCCCTAACTACAGCATGCAGAGCACTGGGAGTATGATTAAAATGGGGTGGCTAATCAGTCATGATTCAGGTATGAACTGCGTACTTGAGCCTTCATCTGCCCTGGGTACACAAGACACATACTTCTTACTTTTAAGACTTACTGGGAGGGAATCACTGGAGTTCTTTGTGCAGGGGAAGTGACAGTGATCCCCAAGAGATCCTGTTACCACTGAGGATTTGGGGCTTGATTAATCTTATGGTGATGGCTTCACCAGCCCCAACTGACTCATTTCCTTTCACAGCCAAAGATCTGTGTTCCTCAGCAGCCATGGTAACAGCATGGGCTCACTGGGAGTTGAAGATGTAGATTTGGCGTGGAGTTGTGTTTGAGCTGAGCTCAGCAGCCCCGGTATGACAGGTCTGGTATAGCCAGGGCAGGTCCAGCATCTTCTGACACTGCTTTGCTGATTCCAGGTTTTTCTTCATATTGTTGCTACAACTGTGTTACTGAATCATGTTTCTCCAGAATATTCTTGAACGTGGTTATGTTAATATGTATCAAACTGGCCAAAAAATGAGTTCCTTTAGTAGTTTGCTTTCTTGGTTTCTTTTATGCTTGCTTTGTAGTGAATGAAATCTGGGCAACTCTGATTCTGCAGCAAAATCATCACTGACATTTAGTTTCTTTAGATCACTGATATATTTAAAAGGTATTTTAAAGCTACCAGAGTTACTCAGTTTTAAGCACAGCTACATTTCACAATACCTTAGATCCTCTGTGTTTTCCATATTGCCAAGCAGCTACAGAGATGGTTTTCAAAGCCCTTGATCCCTTTCTGCCATCCTCAGAGTTCAGTGCCCCAGCCTTGCTGGAAGCACTGGTTTCTGACTGAGAAGTTTGCTGGGTTCACTTTATACACCGAAAGACTGATTTCACATTCTCTTCCTGCTGTATTAAATAAGTGACAGTGAAAAAGGGGATAAATTGTGATTTTCTGTTACTAGGTGCTGGTGAATAGTTAACTTAGTACTACTGGGGGGGCAGGCAGGGGAACTCCAAACCCCAAATCCAGCCTTTTTGTATGTCAAGTAGAGATAACTTTATGAAGTATATCTTGTCAATAATTCTGTTGCTGTTGGAGGGCGACATGCCTCACAGGTACCTGGAAGGATGTGGGGAGTTGACCCTGTCTGGACACCAGGTGCCTACCAAACCTACTCTGTCACTGCCCTCCTTGGCTGGACAGGGGGAGGAAAAAATATGACAAAAGGCTTGTGGGTCAAGATAAGGATGGGGAGAGCCCGCTCACCAGTTGGTGTCACAGGCAAAACAGACTCAACTTGTGGAAAATTAATTTATTACCTATCAAATCAGAGTAGGGTAATGAGAAGATAAAAACTCAGACTGGAACAGACTGCTCCAGCGTGGGTCCCCCATGGGGTCACAAGTCCTGCCAGCAAACCTGCTCCAGCCTGGACTCCTCTCTCCATGGGGCCACAGGTCCTTACAGGAACCTGCTCCAGCGCAGGCTTCTCATGGGGTCACAACTTCCTTTGGGCATCTACTTGCTCATGTGGCTGCAGGTGGATATCTGCTCCACCATGGACCTCCGTGAGCTGCAGGGGAATCTCTGCTACAGTTCCTGGAGCACCTCCTCCTTCTTCACTGACCTTGGTGTCTGCAGAGGGACATCTGCTCCACCATGGACCTCCATGGGCTGGAGGTGGACATCTGCTCCACCATGGACCTCCATGGGCTGGAGGTGGACATCTGCTCCACCATGGACCTCCATGGGCTGGAGGTGGACATCTGCTCCACCATGGACCTCCATGGGCTGGAGGTGGACATCTGCTCCACCATGAACCTCCATGGGCTGCAGGGGGACAGCCTGCCTCACCATGGTCTTTGCCACCTGCTGTAGAGGAATCTCTGCTCTGGCACCTGGAGCACCTCCTCTCCCTCCTTCACTGACCTTGGTGTCTGCAGAGGTGTTTCTCTCGCCCGTTCTGGCTCCTTTCTCTGGCTTCTGCTGGTGTTGCACAGGTTTTTCCCCTTTTCTTGAATATGTTATCCCAGAGGCGCTCCCACCATTGCTGATGGGCTCGGCCTTGGCCAGCGGTGGGTCCGTCTTGTACCCAGCTGGCATTGGCTGTGTTGGACGTGGGGGAAGCTTCTGGCAGCTCTCACAGAAGCCACTCCTGTAGCCCTCTGCTACCAAAACCTGGCCACGCAAACACAATACAAAGGAGAAGTGATGGCCTAGAGTGTATTTATGTTTTGTGATGGCTGAGGTGTGGGTACCATGAAGAAGAATGAGTAATTATGTCCCCTGTGGTCTGGGTTCAAGATCTTCCTTTGCCAAAGACTTAGTGTGTGACCTTGGATGTGTCACTTAAGCTCTTCAAGCCATTGTTTTCCTTTAATGTGATGGGGGTAAGAAAATTTCCCTGTTTTGCTGTATGTTTTGAGAATAAGTGTGCCAACAACTAAGAAGTGCTGAAATTCCTTGGTGGTGGAGGTCATAAGTACAAAGGATGCTGTTGCTGCTGACAAAGCCCACTTAAATTAACTTCAGATTAACCTACTAATGTTATGGAAGTGTTTTATTTACTTCGAATGGTACTTTTAAAAGCTTTGAATGAGTTGAGTGATGTCAAGCCTCTCATGGTGTCATTTTGTTGAATCTTCTAAATTTTTACACTATAAATCATGTAGACAAGTGCTAATTAGAGCTCCATAATACTGTGTGTATCTCTGAATGGACAGACACCTCCTTTCATTTTACTGCCTGCCCTACTATCTGGCCTGTCAGCCTTCTAGCAGGGGTAATTGTGGATACACTGATTTTGCTTGTAAAATCCAAGGTAAATATGGGGATATCTTCTTCATAGTATTGAAATATCGTCATTCAAAAATGGTGGCATTTTTATGTTTTTACTCAAGCTGTTTTCTGTGGAATGACCAAAAGTATCAGTGAAATCACTCTAGCTTTATTTCTTTACTAGATTTCTCAACTCAAAATATTTTTCTGATTGTTTTCAGGAGTAAAAGTTCCTCGTAATTTTCGTCTGTTGGAAGAACTTGAAGAAGGTCAGAAAGGAGTAGGTGATGGGACAGTTAGCTGGGGCCTTGAAGATGATGAAGATATGACACTTACAAGATGGACAGGAATGATTATTGGGCCTCCAAGAGTAAGTATCCACTGAAATATTAAAATAGTACTGTTACTTTCTTCACCCTTTTCTTCTTTTAATCTAACCACTGAAGTAGGAAACAAACAAAACACAAATGAGTGAGAAAACACTTTAGCAAGTGGTATATGTTGAAGGTTCCAGTTCTGTATAATAATGGGTTTCACGTATCTGGGGATTTTTTTGCTTATAATTTGGAATATTTTTAGTGCCCTTCTCTCGTTACTTCTATTACGTGTGTGCTTTATACTTACAGATTCATTAAGACTAACTTTTGAGATTCCAGGATTCAAGTGTCCTGTACTCTTGAATACAGCAAAGTTTGAAATCCTTTGGCTAGTGAGATTACATATGGAGCTAATGTATGTAAAAGATGGTGGGTTTGTTCAGCCCTGCTAGTCTTTTTGCTGTATTTTGTTGAGTTTATAGGTTGTTTTTTATTGCAGCAGTACTGACTTGCTCTTGTAGAGTTTCACCTAACTCAGGCAAGTCAAATTCTAATTAATTCAATTTCTTGTCTGACTGTTCTCTTTGAAAGTAGCTTCTTATAATGCCGCTGCTCTTAGTGGCAGTATTGTTGTGTTCTCCCTCTCTTCTCCCCCCAGGCCCCACTAAACTGTGGGTCTCCACTCTGGCAGTGAACTTGTGGACTTAATTATGCGTCTCATCTGTTGTCACCAGTTTCCCTGTCTGTCTCTGTTCTTTCCTTAATGTCCTTACCGTGAGGTGCAAGTAGCTGATGCTCCTGCCTGCAGCAGTAGATGTTGTCTTCTGTGTCTGGCCTCAGTGTCACTTCTCAATAGATCCAATGTTCTCAGTCTGTTATATGGGAACCTTTACAGACCTTTAATCATGCTACTGCCCGTGTGTTTCCATTCTATCAGTTGCCTTTTCTGAAGTATGATGAGCTTGTACAGGATATTATATTATAATGGTGTTACACGTGCAGTATTTTCTATCTCATCCAGAAGTGTTGTTTACTTATCTGCCATTGTTAACATCTCCCCATTCCTGACCCTTTTGTTTGTTTATAATACGCCCAAATAATTTTCTGGAACAGCATTTGAATTTAGAACATTAGGAGAGTGTTAATGAGCCTACATTAAGACTGTGAAGAAAGCTCACTGTGTGCATACACTTCATGGAAAATTTAAACAACCTTGAAATCTAATTTAGAAAATTAAATAGAAACTGAAATGTGCAAACAGGCACGTGTTGACTTGTCAGCAGTGATAGAAATTTGTAGCTCATGTCAGACTGCTAACCAAGGCTAGAGGACTATCACAGATGATTCAGCTGCGCCTATTTTATCTTTCTGACACACTTACGAATACAGATTTTTTTTCCAAAAGTGTCCTGACTTCTTTTGAGCTTATTGCTTGAAAGCAGCAGGCTGTATTGAGAGAGATTCTGGGAACTTTCAGTCACTTGTTTGCTAAGCAGCTGTCCTGCTTTTAGCACTGTTCATACTCAGTTATATTATTACCATTTTTTTTTCCTTAATAGGATGTGAGAGTACTGGCTTTGGAAAAAAAAATTAAAAAATTAAATCCTATTTCTTTCTGGGTAGAAATGAGTCACACTTCTAGCAGGTGGAAGAATCTTACATTGGGCATCCTGGAGGGAAAAATGAATGGTGGTGCAGCTCGATACGTGTCCCTGCTACCATACATGGCAGCGTGCTTCTCCTGCCCGGACTTCGTGTGGATGGACTTGCAGCCAGTGATTCACCTTGTTTATACAAGCTATTTAAAAACAGTGGCACTGTCAAAGCCTCAGCTTTATCTGCACGTATTTTATATTACCTATAGACACGTGTGTGCTCAGGGCTTTCTGTTCACTGGTCTTAACGTGGCGCAGTTATTTGCCAAGACCCTGAAAACCTGCGCAAAGCTCCGGGCTGTTAACGGCTCCGTGCCCAAGGCACAGCCAGGGACTCGGTCAGAGGCCTGGACAGGCCGAGCAGAGCTGTGGGATGGCTTTTTTTAATTATTATTATTACCCAAAAACTTTCTGAGAGTGTTGAGTTTGTCACCAGCCTGGCTGGACATCTGAAAGGCTGTCTGGCCAGGGCATTGGCAGAGTGACGGAGAGGTCCCACTGCAGAAGGCAGCTCTTACGTTTTTGGTAATGGTTTGCATCAAAATGCTCATTAATATTAAGGGCAATAATAAGATGTTCAGGGGCATAACAGGCCCTTGAAAGGGATTGCACAAGAGTTTTATATTGAGAAGTTTTTGTACACACAAGCAACTGCTCTTGAGATCCTGGTAGAGCTGTCATGCTCTGCTGGCGCAGGTGAGCAGGAGCTGCTGGCTCCTTCTGGGCTTCTGTGCTCCCACGTTCGCCTGGATTTTTGCTCATGGTCACTGTCTTGTGAGTTTAATGTTCATTGCAATGTTGAGGGTGCAGGAAATTGTGTCAGAAGCTGTAAATCTGGAGAGCTTGCCTGCCTAAACTTCCCCGTGATGATCCCATTCCTGTTGTATACTTCTGTTAGCTGCCTGCATTGCCCAGCTTCACTGGAGCTCCGTGCCAGGCTGCACCAGATCAGCACATCAAAAATAGTTATTTTCAGAATGCAGACTGACATTAACTGTTGTTGTCGTTTCTTTTAATTAATTTTAAATATTGAAGAATCGATGTAGCCTTGTTACATTTGTCTCTCTTCTGTACCCATTAAGTGGTTAGTTAAAAACTCATGATCCGGGATTTCTCTTAGCTGTTATCTGAGTGTTACTGCGGTGGAGACAGAGTGATAATGCTGTTTGGGATCAGGATGTACTTTGCAATGTGTTGCATCTTGGAGCCTTCCCTTTTCTGAGAACTGGCACATTGGTTTGTGAGCAAAGAATATTTTTCAAGTGCAGTTCTAGGACTGGCTGACTTTAGATAGTTGCCTGAGCTAAAGCTGTGGCTTCAGTTTCAAGGTAGCGTGTCTGATTAGTGAAGTGATAAACCAGAGCTGCTTTGTAAAGATTGGTTGAAAAGTAGGTATCTGAGCTTTATGGTGATTTAAAAAAATCATGTCAGTTGGTGAATGGGAAACAATGCCATTTTCATTCCTTGTATGAAAATTTGATGCTTAAAAGACCAGTACCAGTTACCCTGAAGAGGTAGCACTTGATACTCTGAATATTATGAAATGAACCCAAAGCAGAGGTAGCCAGTCTAGTATTTAAGTGGCTGCCCTTACATTTAGTCGTGTGCATGTCCCTAAACTAACCACTGTTTTAACCAAATGCTTATTGAACTGCCTGGTGTAATTGTTCCCTCTTTTCTTTTCCCCTCAGACAATTTATGAAAACAGAATATACAGCCTTAAAATAGAATGTGGGCCTAAGTATCCAGAAGCACCTCCATTTGTAAGATTTGTAACAAAAATTAATATGAATGGAGTAAATAGTTCTAATGGAGTGGTAAGTTTTTGGTTTTTATTCATTTTAATGTTGTTTTCATGTGCAGCTTCAAAGTAACACTTTGTTTATACTTGCAACTTGCTTAACTGCTTATTGTTTGCTGGTACAATTTGCTTTGAGGAGAAGGAAAGGGGGGTAGAAGGGAAGTACAGAGCCAAGTGTGTTCTGAAATCAAACGAAGAATTGACTTTTCCTGCCCTTTTGCAACTCATAAATAGTTGCATCATGCAGGGATTTATTACGCTTTTAGGAAACCACTTGCTTTTGCTTTCTTTGTTTTCTCCCACTCGGATTTCTGACAGGATCTTTAGTTGGAGGGTGTGTGGGGGAGTTAAGTGCATCAAACATACCAGTTCTGACAGGAATGGTCTTTTTGTCTGTTTTAGGTGGACCCCAGAGCCATATCAGTCCTAGCAAAATGGCAGAATTCTTATAGTATCAAAGTTGTTCTGCAAGAGCTTCGGCGTCTAATGATGTCTAAAGAAAATATGAAACTTCCTCAGCCACCTGAAGGACAATGTTACAGCAATTAATTAAAAAAAAAAAGAAAAAAAAAGAAAAAAAAACAAACAACATGCCCCCCTTATTCAATTTAAGCTGTCTTCATTTTCCACAGTAGTAAATTTTCTAGATGCATCTTGTAGACCTCAAAATACTGGAAAGAAAGTTCCCATTCAAAGGAAGTTTTTCTTGAGATACTGTAAATGATACTAATTTTTTTTTTTTTTTTTTTCATTTGAAATATAAGTTGTGATATAACAAATAATCCTGTCTTGTAACCACTGTCCACATAGCTGAACTTCTGGTATCAGGAAAAGTCTATTTAAATTTATTACTGTCAAGACCAGTGTGGCACATCTAACTTAACTGTGAAAGCATACATCCCACAATCACCTTGCTGTGTGTCTGGCCTGGGTTTTGGTTTGTTGGGGTTTTTTTTTTTTCCTTTTTCTGTCCTTTGCAATAGAGTCGAAGCTCAGGGCTATTTATTAGAGTAGACACAAAGGTTTTTGCTTCCAGTACTACACTGGGCTTTATGGACTACTAATGGGGATGTGTGCTAACCTCAGTCATCCCTCCCTTTGTGCTCTCTCTAGTAAAGGCTGAATGTGACTGTGGTCGTTTTGGGGTTTTTATTTTTAATTTTTTTTTTTTAAATGCCCTGATAATCTGGGGCAAGCTTTCCTTCTTCCCTTTGGCCAAGGCATAGATTGTATTTCTCTTCCTGGTCGCCCTCACCAGTGACGTGGGCTTTGGGTGAGGGATTCAGGGTTCTTTTAATCTCTTCCCTCTTCCCCTCTTTTTAGTGGGGGTGCTGCTTTCTTTTTGCCCCTCTTTGTGACTCTTCTCACCCCTGGCCAGCGGGGGTAAGCGTTGGGGCAATAACTTGACCTGTTCCCTCCTGCTTATCGTTTTGATTTTGCAACAAATTTAGTCTTCACCAGCCTGGGAAACAAGAGTATCTATTCTGCTCGCAAACTTGGATTTCCCCTGTCCCTCCAGCACTGCTGCCACACCGCCAAGCTGGCCACAGCTGATGTTGTTAGATAGGCTTTTGACGTGGTGAAAAGAGCAGTCATTTACCAGGATTGCCGAAATCTTCTGCTGCCAAACTTTAATGGGGAAACTCTGCACGTAGAGATTCTGAACACGCACTCCAGTTCAAATAGTTGTGTTTTGGTGCTTTGGATTGACCCAAGAATGTTAATTAAAGAAGTGTTGCACTTATGTTTGGCCCTTCTAAAGATACGACGACTACAGACAAATCAAATCAGTATAGGAGATGATAATTAGGATTCTGTAAGTCTTAGAAATCTCTTCAGTGAAGATTCTGGGGAAGTGGTGCATACAGCAGATTAAGGACCTTAACTGGCTTTGCATCCTGGCAAATCACTGCCTTTTCTGGTTTACTGTTTTGGACCACTAACTGCTGAAATGTGGATGCAAGCTTACGTACAACCAACCTAGTGTGTCCTAAGTTTTATGACAAATTCAGTGTTTGTGTAAAAAAAAAAATTAAAAAAAAAAAAGAAAAAAAGGAAAAAAGGAAAAATAAACACATTTTAAAGCAGCAGCTATGAAGTCAATGAACAATTGATGTTTCCATTAACTCTTTTGAGGAAAATATTAGTTGTAAGGATTTAACATCCTCTGTAATTAAAGTTTAACATAACAGTATTCCATAAGCAGCCTTTTTATTGTATCAGACCATTGCCTGATTTTAATATAATAAAAAGTGTGCATTAATATTAGAAGGCTTTAATTGTATTTATGTTTAGAATTTTGATCCCTTATGGAACTCTTGATTTGTTGGAAGTATCTTCCTACAGATCAGGTTTAGCTAACAGTATGTAAACTGGTGGCGAAAGGCAATTGTCTCTATCCAGCTGCTGCTGCTGTGCCAAGGAGAACATTTAGTTTCAGTTTAAGCCTCAGGCTTGTGTAGACTTGGCAGTTGGTAACGTTACGTGATGCTAAGGAGCTGATGGAATGAACTTCTAGAGACGTGTGCTGTCTGAAGATGCTGTTATTGCAGTGACCTGTATGTGCTGTAGTCCTGAGGAAATCGACCCCTGTACAGTTTCGTGTTATGCCTTGTCAAGTTCAAGGAGAACCTCACAACCTGAATTTTTTACCTGTTTTCCCTCAAATAGTGAAGTATAAAAAACTGTCCTTCTCTCCAATCTGGATAAAAGGGCTGTGAAATTTTGGCCTTGGCAAGTGCAAAGCATCTCCACTTCAGAGGATTGCCAGAAGGTACTGGTGCATTCACTTCAGTGGTGGTGAAACAAGGTTCTTCCTGGGTTAGGAACAAAAAAGGGAATGACCTTTGTGAAACTTTGTGACACTTGCTGCTGGCTTCTAGCCTGAAATACTGCTCAGTCCTTTGGTAGCTCAGAGGGTATCTGTGAAGACAATGTGACTGATACGTTGTCAGCATTGTGTGTGTGTATTTATTTAAAATAGTTTAGTATCTAAAGATGTTAAAAGGGAATCAGAACAATGCTTGATCGTTATAGCGTGCTGCTTGATTCTCTCTGTTTTTCAGAGCTGTTGTAGGAGTGCCCTTGCCCTGTTCAGGAGGATATGGTTGGTGCATGTTTGGGGACCCCCCAACATTCCTACTTCAAGTAACAATTTTAAAACCTTGAAACTGTTTTGCTTTGCAAGTTGTACAGGTTAGAGCTTTCCACCCTGACCTGGGCTGTGCTCTGCCAGGAGCTGTGCTGGCAAGAGCCATGTGGTAACAACATTTGCCATATAAAGTTGGGTGGTGCTTTTTAAAAAAAAAAGGGGGGAGGGTTCATTGTAAAATTTTCTTACCTAGGATTTGCACTCTTTGGACACATCAGTGCTCCAGTGCACTGCTGTTCCGCTCTCAACCGAGCAGGACTGGTGTGGAAAAATAATGTCCTAAGAGTCAGCTGCTGTTGAATCTACGTGTTGTAGCTTTGTCAGTGTATGTGACCTACGAGAGAACAGTCATCCCACAGCCTGCTTGCTTGTTTATGCTTCAGAAATGAGGTGAGGAAACAAAACGGTCTCTTAACTTGTATTTATCCTGCCTCTGGCAGTGCAGAGGCAGAGTGTGTAGTTGATCCCTGCTGACCCTTAGTTTATGTCCTGAACCAGTGTCTCTTGAGAGAAAGATATGAAAGGATAATAAATAACTAGATTGGCCATATAATAAATGCAGTTCCCTGGAGGAGCTGCTGCTGGAGGTGGCTGAAGCGGCGCGTGGGGACGAGACTGGCTGGAGCAGGAGATTCCTGCAGAGGTGGTGTGAGCCATCCTGTACCAAATGTGCTGGACACTTGCAATAAAAAGCTGTCACCTGCCAGTGCTTTCCCTGGGTGTGGAGCGAGCTTTTGACTCGGTGTGAAGTATGAAGACGGTAGAGGGAGCCAGCAAGCTTTACAAGGCTGGGGTCTGAGTAAGGTGCAAATGCTGCTCAATTGGAATGTTAAGTCATCTTGTGGGAACCACTTTTCATATTTATCCTGAATCAATTTCAATTTTAAAAGCCTGTTTATCATAACTTTCTCACTGTACAGGCATTAACTTGCTAGGGGGAAAACCAGCACCGCAGTGAGATTTTAATTGTTAATAAAGACTAATTGTTGTTTGCTTCTTTCTTTGTTGTAATTAAGTTCCATGTGTGTATGTAGGGAGTATGTGCTTAAATACGCCTTTTCTGTACTCCTACAACTCCTTGCAGTGCTTGGAATTTAAAGTTCCTTCAGCTCTCATTGGAGTAATAATTTTTAAGTCAAAAAAATGTCATCAGCCGCTCTGCGAGGCGCCAGCACTGTCTGTGATTCACCCTGGAGTCCTGCAAGGATGCAGAGCAGGAGGAGCAGCCGGTGAGTGTGGCGGTTCCCGTCGGCCCCGGGCGCAGCCTGACCAGGGGACCGGCTGCTCCGGGCGCTTTATCTTCGCGCTGCCTCAGAGCCGTGATCCGGAGCTGCTGTGGCACTGCAGGGCAGCTGCCGTGCGGAGCAGCACTGTTCAGTTATGTCAGTTCTAACGAGGGAAACAAACCCAGCAGAGATATGTAGTGGGACGTGTCCTTACTCCTTTGCCAAGCACCAGCCTTTGTAGTGTCTGGCCGGAGCTGTTTGTGGCTCTCCTTGCTGTCTGTGGGAACTGGCCGTTAGGTGGTTGAGGTCAGGGCTTTACCTACAGGACAGTGTTTCCTACAGCAAGAAACAGCACGGTGAATTCACTATTTTTTTTTTCAAGCTGGCATCAGCTTAACGCTGAAACAAGGAAGTTCCAGTTCTGCATGTACCTGTAAATATGTGTCTGCTTCAGGCTTTACCTACCTAGAGCTGAAAGAAGGTAAAGAGAATTTGTTAGTGATATTCTTAATATCTAATTTTTATACACAGTAATTTAAGAAGCTCTTTCTGATGGCTTAGAGTTTTCCTAAGTCAGTGGAAATTGCCATGTTGTGTTAATCCTTGGCTAGGATGCTTTCCAAAAGCATGCTAACCTTGCTGTTGACCAAGATTCAGGTCCTTTAATAGCTTCTCGTTTTCTCTGGTCTTTCTGTAGCAGATGCTGGAGAATGTGCTTAACTTTTAAGCCTGTGAAGAGCCCCAGTGAAGTCAAATTCAAGTTAGGCACATGCTTAAGTGCTTTGTTGGAGCAGAGCCAGCGCGCTCAGCCTCTGCTAGGAAAGAGACATTTTTAGCCTTTATTGAGCATCTTCTTAGTCCTCCCTTCTTGGTGCTACGTCCTTGGTGCTTGTGCCTTTACTTCTCCCCCCACCCCGATGTATCCCACATTTGTTGTAACAAAAAAAGCAAAGAGCAGAAGACAACGTGGAAGATAAGGAGATAAGCTAGATTTTCATCATTTTATATGTCAAGCATCTTGTCACCTTTTTCATCCTTATCTCCTTTTAAATAAAGCCTACAAAGGGTTTTCAGAAATGTGGGTCCTGTCCTAATTTTCTGTCTGTCGAGCCAGGTTGTTGGTGGCTTTGCCCTGACACGTCTAGAATGCCCTGTGGTACCTTGATGGGTAATAGGAGGGGAGGATAAATGTCAAATGATCTGTCTAAAAGTCCCTTTCCCCTCTCCATTGCTCAACATTTATTCTTTTATGTTGTATTATTTCATTAGCTCTCTGCTCACCAAAGAATGTTTCAGGATAGCCAAAGCTGACATTTCTTTTGGGGAGGGGGAGGAGAAAACAGCAAAAACAAGCAGGAATTTTTGAGAGAAAAGGGAAGCAAACTTTTAAGCCATCTTCATTAGAAGTGATGGGTCTGTTTTCCCTTCCACTCGCTCTTTTTATAGAGCTGCTCTAAAACCATTGCTCAGTGTTCATAACTGGCCTGATAGTAGTCTCCAGATTTACAGAAGACAGGGTTTTTGTTTGCCTTATGGAGGCTTTCTGGGGCAGATATCTGCTTGTTTGTTGGCAATAAGCGCAGACAGAGGGACGATGGAGAGGAGGGAAGGCTGGAGGGCTGGTGGCACCGATCCTGCGCACGCAGACTGGGGCAGGGTAACGGGGAGATGTGTTTGTGTGAGCTGCCCAACGGCTGCTTTTGCTCTCCTCAGGGCAGGGGGAGCACACACAGTCACACACTTTCAGGAGCCTTCCTGGAAATTAGGAGTAATATTTAATGACAGCTTTTTGCAATCACGGAGACTCGGGTGCTGTGTACATGGGATCGGGATGTACGCCGGCTGTATGTGTCATCCCGGAGCCCGAGCAGGACTTGAGAAACAACCGCAGCAGAACAAGAGATCTCGGTGAGGTGTCTGCCAAACTTCTGTCCCTCCAAAGAGACCTCTTAAGTCCCTGGGCTACCAGATCAGATGTTGTCCAAGGTTAGCGGCCAGATGTTTCTCAGCTGTTTGGACTGGTTTCCAGCTGAGACCAAATGAGTGGCTATCCAACATGTAAGTATTAATATAAACATTTCAGAGGCCTTGCCTTGAGCGAGCCATTAAAAACTTCCCACGATACTGCGAGCGATGCTGGCTTCCTTAGAGAGCATCAGTATTTTGTACATCGCACTTGAATCTCCCGAGCGGGTCAGACGCGGGCTGCCACCTGCTCGAGCAGCACTGGGGCCAGCCCTCCCCCTTGTTCTAGTGGCGCCAGAGCAGTGTGGTCCCTGGAATTTGATTATTTGTGTTAGCAGATAATTTAGACCAGAAGGCTGAGAGTGTTCCCTTCCTTCCCTGGATGTCGTCATGCTTCCCAGCAAAACACAGTCCCAGGTCCTGTGTCCCTTCCCCTCCTCTCGCCCCGCAAGTACAACAAAAACCCTTTCCACGTCCCTTCTTCTGAAGGGTCACTGTCCACTCATTTTAAGCTTGGTTTTGGCTTGTGCAGGCCTGCCAGAAGGGGAGGATTTCATTAAATCCAGCATGCAGAGCCATGTTTTTAATTATTACATGTATTAAAAAAAAACAGAATGAGTTTTTGATGCATGGTTCTTCTGAAATGTTCTTAATGCCACCCGTGAGCTTTGGTGTTCAAACACGAGCGATGAGAAATGACCCTTTCTGGTCTCCCACTGGCATGAAACAAGCCCCTTCCCAGGCTCTCCATAACTTTCATCAGGTTTTAATGCTTTGGTTCTCTCAGACTTCGCCTGCTCTAGCTCTAAACCGAGTAGCACTTCACGCCAAAGCTGCGTCCCACTGGAGGTGTGGGATGGTTGTTTGCGGAGGCAGATGCTGTTCACAGACCAGTGTACTGGGGCTGGGCCCAGGGGGTGAGTCTGCCCCTGGGAGCTGGTTGTGTTCACAGACC